GGTTTAAGTAGGAACTCTCCCGGACCAGCCGAAAGAAACCCGTTTTCGGGTAACCAGCCTGAGCTTTCAATGTGCTGATCTCCACTCTCTGTATCTCGATTGGAATGAAGAAAGTCGTGTCATGGTAGCGCCTTGTGCGTGGAAAAGCAACAATGAAACCCTCTTGAAACTAAGCCTTTTTGGCAGGGGAGACAATGCTGAACCTGGTGAGGATAACGAAGCGGACACAAAAGCTTTCCCGTATTGAATAACCAACACAATTTCGTGGTCGGATGTTGCATTCCCGATTCATTCGGGGTGACCTACCGTCCCCTATTTTTGCTAAATTGTTGGAACATGAGTTTGTACATGCATCGTCGACTCCATGTCGAGTGCCGAACTCTCTGAGGTGTTTGTGTATAATGTTTTTGCATGGATGCATGCGTGAAGTAACTAGGGTCGCTTGGTTGTGAATTGTTTATTAGGGTGAAGTATTCGAGTACTGTTTAAAATGTAGTCTTTCTTTGTTGGGGATTAACTCAGATAAAGATATCATATAGGTTTTAAGATCTGTCAATGAGGTTGCATGTATGATTGATGATTGATATAGTGGGCACCGTGATAACATCTGCTGGATTGGATTGATTCATGCTTCTCCCATTTTAGTCTTCGTACGGACCCTTGCTCTATACACCATAGCAACCTTTTGGCGTTCCACGTCGTAGATAAAAATATTATATACTGCGGTGCGGGCATAAGGAACGTGTTAAAGCTGAGCGCATATGTCAATTGACTCAATTCCACTTGTCTACTCCCCCCAGCCGTTGTCATTTCGGGATTAAATAAACGGATTTGTGCTTGATGCTGCTTGTTATTAGTTCAAATGTTATGTTCTACCGAGATCATCCTCACCAATTCAAACATAACTCCGAGTCTCATCCTGTAATTTGCTGCACACGCAACATGAAGCCCTCACCTCAGCTGCGTCTTCCGCAAACAAAGAAATTCCTCCTCCTACCAGCATGTGATATTGGGTTGTTGCCGTTTCGTAGTAGCCCTTTGGGAGTACTACTCTCCCTCTCTCTCTCTCACAAAGACATCAAAAAACAAACAAACAAACAAACAAACAAACAAACAAACAAACAAACAAGTGTGGCAGACTGGCAGTGTATATTTCCATGTTCCAGCGGTAGATTCATTCAATTTTGCTCATCCTATCGATGAAGGTTCCATCACCATCCCTCCTTTGGATGTATGTTCAAGGAACTAAAGGTGTGTATTTGCATTTATTAAATACCATGATGTGAGAGTCAGTGAGACCCCCTTCTTGCATTTTTGTCCCTCGCTTTTGGGTAATGATTTGTCTTTTCCCATCCGCAAAATTACCCTCTCGCAGCCATGGAAGTTTTGGTTTCGTCCCGAGACATCAACCCCTGTTCAAAATCCTTGCTTGTGACCAGGTAGTGATCCCCCTCTGATTGACGCTGCGCATGTAAGAAGGCTAGAGAACTTTGCACCGTACGACTGGTTGGTATCAGAGCTGATAGGTGGCTTTTTTTTTTTTTAATAAGAAAAAAAAGGAGCTGATAGGTGTCAACTGGAGGTGATTTTATTTTATCATCCCATCTTTCCTCTCTTCTTCTTCTTCTTCTTCTTTTTTTTTTTTTTTTTTTTTTTTTCCCCATCCCACCTCTCCTCTTGATTTTGAAGCAGCGACAAGTTGAACATGGAGTTGTGATGCAGACGGTGGACGTGTGAGCGATGATTAGGTATGGCGTTCACAACAGGTATGAACGAGGGAGGGGAAACCTTCCTGAATTGAACGAGTTTGCGTCCTTTATTGCGTAGATAACTCATAGGCCGTGGAGCTATTCTCCCTTTGCTCCTCCGCTGCAGACTCGGGCATGAAAAGCAGCCAAACCCACCCATATACTAGTCACATAGCTGCTTTCTTCACCAACAATTACTAGGTCACATGGCAATGGTATCCAGGCCAAGGTGCCAATTTCGTTCGGCCTGCACAGCCCTCCAGGGATTCTTTTGCTCAATTGATTCAAAAACTTGAGGTGTTCACAACATCGTTGCAGCGGTGTGGTTGCAAACTTGCAAACATCTAGTCCGATTGGAATGAAGAAAGTCGCGTCGTGGTAGCGCCTTGTGCGTGGAAAAGCAACGACGAAACCCTCCTGAAGCGACCGACCTCGCCGAGCCTTTTTGGTAGGGGACACAATGCTGAACCTGGTGAGGATAACGAAGCTGACACAAAAGCTTTCCGGTATAGAACTAGCACAGTGGCGGACGCCGCACAGATCATTAAGAAAGCGTGAGGTGTTATTTACACATTATAAAGTTGATGATTTCCACCAAGGATTTGATTTCCTGGCTGCGCGAATTCCATGCGAATTAGTACAAAGAAGCATGCATTGTGCCCATTACTCCAGCAATTCCACTAATTTAAATATTAGATATATGGACTGCCTTACTCCCAAAGGGCTACTACGTAACTACGCAACAGCAACATCCCTGGGACTGTGGCACAGCCACCATTGGCCAAACCCGTAGCTGCTAAAATAGGTAGACTCGGAGACTCACAGCTGGAAGGTGGGTCGTTGAAAATACCCTTCCCTCTAGCTTTGCAGATACGCTCGGACGAATACGTGATCATCATGATTGCAGGGACGATAGAGCCAGCGACGACCATCGAGCGGCGATAGAGCCAGCGACGACCGTCGACCGGCGATAGAGCCAGCGACGACCGTCGACCGGCGATAGAGCCAGCGACGACCGTCGACCGGAGTAATCCGAGATGCAGACCACGGGTCGGAAGATGACTCGGATGCTTTTGCCTCCCGGAGACCAGGTAGCGAAGATACATAAAAAATAGCGGCCCCTACGTTCAAGGACAATCAAATAGATGAGCGACGAGCGTCCGAGATAGAGCAAGAACACTCGCTGACAGTGGAGCCAAAGCCTCCATGCTCTAGGCTCTAGTACTATCTACTATGAGAAGTTGAGAACCATAGCAGAAACTTTGGCAATCCAGCAGTTTCAAATTGAAGTATTAGAAAGAGGAAGAAATAACGGCGGACATTGCATATTTTGAAACAGTAAAGGCAAAAAAAACTCACGTCGGCAAAGAAACCTTGCGCCAAGTTGAACTTGAAATGAGCAATTTCGGTCCAAAAGTATCCGTTGGGCTTTTTTTGTCTTTTTGTTTTTGTTTTCCCCCTCTGACACCACGGCCGTCGGTACTTCCGTTGCCTTTTCGAACTCGGCGCCGTTTTCTTTGTCACGCGTGCCTTTTTTGCCCTGGCATGCGATACTCCAAGGTGACATGAACGTACTCAAAAGACGAAGAAGAAGAAGAAGAAGAAGAAAAGAGGAAGAAGAAGAAGAAGAAGAAGAAGAAGAAGAAGAAAACGAAGAAGAAGCATCTTTGACAAATGATGATTCATGAACTGATCGACAGGCAATGCTGACCAGACGTTGTAGCTCTCTGGAAATTTGAATTTGAAGGGCCAAAAAGAAGGAACTTGTAGCTTTCGCAACTGAACTGAATGGGACGGAAAGGGAAATGAACTTGGACAGATTCTGAACTGAGCTGAACTGAAATGAAATGAAATGCAATGAACTGAATTGAAATGAACTGAACTGAAATGAACAGAACTGAACTGAAATGAAATGAGCTGAATGGAAATGAATTTAATGGAATGAAGGTGGACTTAAACCGCCAGTACATGGCGGCCTCAGCGTTGCTGAAAAGAGACTCGTCTCCTATCCGAAAAAGTTGGCGCCAGCGCGCCATTGATAAAAGAAATTGGTGGCCGGCATCTCTTTTCGGCCTCTGACACGGCCCTGCGGCCGATGTGAGGTATGTACTCGTGGTTTAACAGAATGGAGGATTATGGAGCTGAACTAAACGGAGCTGAACTGAACTAAACGGGACTCAACTGAACTCAAGGTAGTGGAACTGAACTTAACACAACTGAAGCTCTACTTAAGGGACTGGCCCGACTGGCACTGAACTCAATGGCACTTAACAGAATGGAACTACTAAACGGAACTTAACAGAATGCAACTACTAAACGGAACTTAACAGAATGGAACTACTAAACGGAACTTAACAGAATGGAACTGAACTCGAAGGAACTGACAGTTTTTGAGACTTTTGTTTGAGCTAAAGACTCAAGTGACCGAAGTTCGCCGAACTGAGGCTTTTGAGCCGAACTGTACTGTAACAGTAAGGGAATGGAACTGAACCGAAGTTAACGGAATGGACCTGAGCTGAGCTGAGCTCAGCGGAACGGAATGGGAAGGCACGGAAGGGAATTGAACTGAATCAGATGCTTCTGAGCTGAAGCGAACTGAGTATTAACCGCCCCCCCAACCCCCACCCCTTTTTGTGTGTGTGTGGGTTGAGGGGGGGAAGGGGGGGATCACCGTCAGGTTTCTCATTTTTATGTGACTATTACTACAGTTATTATGGTTTGTGGAATGGAATGGGAATTTCCCGAAGAAAAAAAAAAAGGAATGGAATGGGCACTGGGCAGACAATGGAGGGGTCCGAGGGGAGGTTTGTGACTGCCACGGAACTGAAGTTACTGAGTTAAACTGAGTAAGGGCCTCGCTGCACTGCTCTCCAGATGCACAAAAGACAAAAGAAATGGCAATGTATCTTTCCATGTTCTAGTGTTGAATTCAGTCTCATTTTGCACATTTGGAGAGTAGTGCAGCGAGGCCCTAATTGACCATTTTGAGGCTTTGAGGCTTTGAGCTGAACTAATCTACAGTCTGAGTCTGAACTGAGCTGAGGTGTCTTTTCTTGTTTTCTCTCGTTTTGTTTTGTTTCGTTTTGTTTCGTTTTGTTTTGTGCATGTGTGTGTATTGGGGGTTGGGGTGGGGGTGGGGGGGCGGGGGTTGGGGGGAGGGAGTAGAAGGGAGGGGTTGATTTTGACGCGAATGTGAAAAATGGGCAGACGTTGTCGGGGAGGTTCGTGACCACATCTGGGCTGGTTGGACAGGAAATCGAGAGGTACTGGAATGTGCACAATCATTTGGAGTCATCCTTTACCCCATCCTCCGTATCGCAATCTGAAGAATGGAGAACATTCGTGTCGAGGGGAAGGACTGGAAGCGACCTTGTGGCCAGGGTCACTATCGACAGACCAGATCGCAGCTATTTTCAGGTGTGTGCACAGGGGCCTGGTCTCACGACTGGGGGTACTAACCGTTCCGTTGAGAAATGTACTACAGTGTGACACGAGTGACACAGTCTTTGCACAGGGGCCCGGTCTCACGACTGGGGCTTCCGTTTAGAAATGTACTACAATGTGACACGAGTGACACAGTCTTTGCCACTGGATCTAACTTCATCTCATACTAACTGATCCGACGCACACTGTCAGACCGTGTCTGTGCCGTGTCCGTGAAGAACGCGGTGGTTGGTCCGTCCGTTGCCAGATGCAACTGGATTTTTTTGGGGGGAAACTACGCTGGAGTCGCAAAAAATGAGTTATAAAAAACTTATAATTGGACTATAGAGTTTATAGACCAAGATACAGATTCGAATTGCAGTTCGGGCAATGTATAGAACCCAGCTTTCTGGCCAGGTAGGGTGCCTGAAGTGCAATTGCAAACTGTATCTTGGCCAATAGTGCAATTATGACTCCTTTTTGTGACTCTACTGAAGTTGCTGCTTTTTGTTTGTGAGATGCAACTGTTCACTACTCTCTTTCCTTTTCTCTTTCCATGATTTGTTTTTGAATTTTATTTTAATTATTCATGAAAATATCAATATAGCACCGTAATAGCAGATCTTTTCCTTTTTTTTTTCCCGGGTGAAGGCTCCATCTATTGGTGGGGAGCTACGCCTGCTGGGAACCGGGGGCCAACTCCCACTAGTGGAAGTTTTGTTCCTGCTGCCGCTACTGTTGTCAGTTGACGGTGCGCCATGCAGCACGGCAGATGAGCGAGTGCAGGAGGAAGAAAATGTATTCAACCTACAGCCTAAGGGTCGGGTGGGGATGACATTGTGTTGTATTGGAGGGATGCTTGAACTGGATTTTAAACTGAAATGCTGACTGCGCCCTAGTTACCCCAAGGAAGGGAAAACCACGGCGCTGTCACGGTTTTAGTTTGAAAATGCGCTTCAGTCAGTCACAATTTCGCGAGTGTATACAACAGTCTGTAGCTGCACAAATGGTTAACAACTTAACAGGTACCCCCACTTTTCACCCCTAGGGTAACCTTGGGGGTGAAAATTGGGGGGTCTGCAGCTCGGGTATACCCCCAGTGGATGACTGGACTGGACTGGACTGGCCTGGTATCGACAGTGGTACCGGACAGGACTGGACTGGACTGGACTGAATGAGCACATGGGCTGTGGGGTCAGGCAACGGCCTGGTCCCGCAGGCCGAACAGGCAAAATAGCCAGATAGCCCTGGCTCTAGGCCAGGTAAGCCAGAGGCACGCTGCACGGAGATTCATTCTCATTTTGCATGTCGTCCACCTATCGGGATCAGGGATGGGCGGATGCCGAAGGAATAAAATGAGAACAGATCTTTCGCTAAACCTTGGGAAGATACACCACCATGTTTCTTCAAGTTGTCTTTTAACGGAGCAAGGCCCATGGCCGTCGAGCTCTCTCTTTACTCTGCCTTCTGCTATAACGTGCAAGTGGGCCGTTAAAGCACCAGTACACCACACATCGGCTCACGGGTGTCAGCAAGAAACTCGCACCACTTCGGAGGCCACCGATTTTTCTTTTCCACAGCCCTCCGCTCAGCGCAGCTCCTCCAAGTTTTGATTGTGGCGACAAAAACTTTCTGCAAGGTTGGGGCTGTGTACTGGTAGTTGAAGGCATACGGGGATGTGGGCAGCTGCCGCTCAACCACAATTAACGTGGGCAGCCTTGTACGTGCCAGGCATGGTAAAAGAGGAATAGGGCCTGTTGTGGTGGAAACTTAACACACACACACACACACACACACACACACACAGGCTGTTGTGGTGGAAACTTAACACACACACACACACACACACACACACACACACACAC